TAATTCACGGCTTTTGTTCTCTTATCTTTCCTCCTCGAACAGCACAATTCCCCTGTCCCAGGGGCACACCGGCAGCAAACAGCCGCCGGCTCCTCCACTTCCATCCGCGGCGGCCGCCGTTCGCAGGGCGCGCTGGCGGGCGCGGATTGCGCCGGGGCTGCGTACCAGGGGCGTACCACGCGGAGGCTATTGGAGGCGACCACTGCCAAGGCACCTGAGAGAAAACCATGACCGGTCAGGAGTACCCTAGCGATACATACCCCTGAGAAGGTGATTGGAGACACTGTTATGTAGGTGCCAGGAGGGTCCAGTCGTACATTCTGAGTGGAAGCCTACAGGGGTATGTGCAATGTTCTTTCGAGTTCATTGAAGATCGATCGCATGCGATACACAGTGATACACAATTAATGATTTAATGGTTGATTCGGATGATATGCTGAACTCATTGAACCAACAGTCTCACCGCAATCCTTCAGCAGCCTGTAGCCTTAGTGGCCTCAGGTCAGGCACAAACCAGTCAAACCATCATCCTCTAAACCATTTCTTGTGCTTCATCTTCCACCCATTCAGCTCACTCTCACTCCTCGCAAAGGCACGCGAGGTCGCCACGCGCAGTCCATGCATGGCCTCGCTGGCCAGGAACTCCCGGATGCAGCTGCGCAGCACCGCACGCCCATCCAGGTTCCGTGAGAAGGGCGTGCGACCAGAGCCTGGGGGGCATCGTCCGCTGGGCTCATCTGGCTCGTCCGCTAGGCATCCCCACCCCTGTCCCATCTTCGAAAACGGAGGGGGTGGCCAGAAGGAGCCCGTCGGGTGGGCTCACAGTGGGCTCTGAAAAGAGCTCTTCGCGATGTTTTCACTCACTGCGATGTTCACGACCTGTTCGCACTCACCTGGTGTGACCGAGTTCGGTTCGTTCTTCCGTTCGGGCCAGCGTTCCTGTGCGACACTCACCAGCGCTTGAGGCAGGCAACTCATGTGGCATGAGGACGAAATCCCGGAAGTGAAGTGGACTCATGACAATCAGAAGACTAGTGACTAGCCCTTTTCGGGACAGTTCACATGACAACAAGCCACGTGAATCAAGCCAAACAACAAACGTGTTGCGCAAGGCTTCTGACCGACCAAAGCAACAGACCACGAGTGTGTCCTCTTGTGCAGCCTGCTTTCGACCGCACCTGGCCGATCCTTGACCAAGAAAGCCTGACAAACACCGGAGTTGTTCTGCGATGAGCTACGTCGTGAGTCACGGCTACGTATAGGTCGTTGTCTTTCCATGTATTTGGCCGAAAACTTGGACATGACCATCATGACCTGTGATCTCCACCCAGCTCTCTCTTCCTTCCACCCTGCTCTGGCCTTTCAGCTGCACCTCCCAGCGCGGCCCAGGAACGCGGCCCTCCGCCACCCCCAGCGACACGCAGCGCCCGTCGCCGTAGCCGGACGGCCCGTGCGGCGAGGTGGCGGCGAAGCGGCCGCGCACGGAGGTGCCGTACGGGGTCGCCGTCGGGGGTGGCCAATCGGAGGGCAAGTCTCCTGGGTGGCCGGGAAGCCGCATGGTCTCAGGTATAGTGGAGTTATGATCCATGGTAAGTTAGAGGGGTAAGTGGTAAGTGAGGACTTTGGACATGCACCAAAGTAAGCAAACATGGGCATGGCTGGCTGCAGCATGCATGCATTCTTGCTACACACAAAGGCATGCTGCACAATTTTAATAACGACCAATGACGCGACATCCAAAATGGGAATTGGAGGTCTGCCTCTGCCAGTTTTCCTTGATAAAGTCATATATAATGGAGGTGAACCTCCAGGTGAACCTTCTTTCAGCTCATGTTTGGATTGGCAACCAATCCCCCAAAAAGGTCAACGGCTGACCAGTCACAGTTCATCTTGCTTGGTAGTGACGTATAGTGTTTTTGAGACATGTCTTCAAAGGCTCCTGCCAGGATCTTGAGGTCATCAGGCTCATAGTGCCAGTTCAGCTCATGGCAAAGCTCATCAGAGATGACCACCAACTCAGGATCCTCTGTGCGAAGTCGCGAACTTGAGAGTCGATGTGGACACCAGCTGCGAACACCAACTCAGGAACCGGAGGAGCCTGAGGAATGAACACCGGGCTCTTCCGAAGTGCCAGGAGTGAACCAACAAATCGCCACACTCGATCTCGCGTGCACCGGTGAGACCCGGGACCATGACTCAAAGGCGAAAGCATCACGAAAGGCAACGCTCCATACTTTGAGACCAAGCCCGCCATGTCAAAGCCACCAGGGCGCGACCAACCGGTCCCACGTCCCGACCCACCGCACGGACGGTCCGGTAAGGGCTCCGGCGTGACCGTCACGTAATGCCCCTCCGTGACGGCACGCGACTTCCTCATGGAGGCACCCACCTGGGCGATCCGAACACATCCATCCTAGCGGAAGGATGGTGTGGTGGGTTCTTTTTGGGAGGATGATACACATATAGGGAAAGGTTTCAAGAAGGTTCAACGAGAAGGGCTGGGCTGAATCCTATATAAGAGTGTTTCCAAAACAAGGACAAGCTAATTTCCTTCAAGCATGAATTAATGAGTCCATGATTGGCCAAAACCGGCTACCCTTTAATCCCCTTTTTTAGACTTAAAACATCTTAAAACCAAACCAACAGGAGATGCATCGATCCACATATACACAGGATTTTGACCAACATGTGCCTATATAGTATTTCAGGTGCCTATCAACAGGACAACGGAGCCATGTCATCTCGTGCGTTGAACGCAAATGAACTCCCAGCTGCTTGGATGAGGTGGCGACCCTCATGTTCCGAGCCAGGTCCAGTGAGGTCAGGTGATTGGGGCATTGCATCAGGACTGTTGGATGGGAATAACAAGTTGTATAAATGACCTCAATCAGAACTGGTTTATATTCTATATTGAATGACCTCAATCAGAACCCCTTTTCATTTAAAAAAGGCTCATCAGCTTTACCAAGGAACGGAATGGCCACTGATTGAATTTCCTCCGCCAGACCCGAGAAAAACTGGATTTCTGACCACCAACGTTGAATTTTTCACCACGCCACAGGCGTCTTTTCCTCCACCAGGTCCTGCCAGGCCAGCGAAGCGGGTTCCACTCGAAAGGCTCGGCGCGCACAAAGGAAAGCGGCGCAGGCAGGTCCGGCGCACCTGTGGAGAGAATTGGTTGAAACGTTCGGGGGACAAACACGCGGCGTCAGACTCAGTGGGCGAAGAAATCCTGATTTTCTCTGGAATCCTGATGCCTCTGAGAGTGATTGGGAGGCACTTTTATGTAGGTGCCACGAGGGTCCAGGTACATTCTGAGAAGGTATGTGGAAGTCCAGGTTAAAGTCATAATATTCATCTATAAAAAACTCAGGCTACCAAGACATACAAAGACGAATGGCATGAAGCTTCATCATGTTTCATCCACTATATACGGCCTATAAGGGCTATTCAGCTATTGACAATAGAAGCAAGAACGTTGAAGGAGTACATCAGTCGATATTTTTAGATCAAAATATTTATCTCTGCACATCTGCACCTTGACAACCAGTGGCCATCCCGCCACGAGCAAGCACCGCTTGTCGCGCCGCGTGCCAAGAGCGTTGCCCGCGGAGCCAGGGGCCAAGGAGGGTCATAGCTGTGGAGTTGAAGCATGAAGCGGCTGAAACAACTGTACTCCCTAGGGATTCTTCTCAGGTTGTGTACTTAGTCATATAAGGGTTCCAAATCCTTTACGATCCTTGTTCCTAGGGCTTTACGCAAAAAACTGAAATGGTTACCCAACAAAGCTTTCTTAACATGTTGCCATAAAATACAGTAGATGGCACGTTGATACTGCGCTGATGCTGCCAAAAGTGGCCGCTTGAACAAAAAAGACACAACTTGTTGGGAATCTAAAGAATATCATCCAGGGTGATGTCAGTAGCCTTGCCAAAGAAGCTGGTATAAATGGAAGGAGGTGGACGTTACAGGAGTGCTGCGAACATCTGACTCACTACGCATGCGTCCGCATGCGCTGCTGCACAGGTGTGAGATCTCAATGGGATCAGAATCGGAAGCGGCTCAATGGATCAGCCTCACTTGCCACTGGAAAGTGTCACTGAAAGAGTGTCAACCATCATAAACTCGCTAGCACCCTTTCGCGTCGCTTCTTGGAGAAGAGAGAGGTCTTGTGTCCAACACAAGATGCTTCTTCCGTCTGAAAGGGAAGCTGTTCATGTCCAGTCCTTCCCTGGCGGAGTAGTGTTTGCACTGGGACCCGTCCGGCAAAAGAAGAACTATCCGCCAGACCTGCCACACCAGCAGGGCTCTTATCCACATTGAAACACATGTCAACAATGGCGCTTGGTCTTCATCTCCTCCAGGTTCACACGGTTCACACATCTACCCCGGAATGGTCAAAATCAGTCATACCATATCCCATAGGTTCTTGAAAAGGAAGCCTCATATGCATATACCGTCATACCTTAGTCATACCATATCGGCTAGCAGCCCCTGTTTTTGATCCGTTTTTTCGATTCAGTGAGTTCTCCTCGTGCCAAGCCAAATATGTGTTCATCCCTAGGTGGGCCCAGGTGGGCAAAGGGACCGGCCAAGCGAAATACGCCATATACCTGGCAAAGTAATCAAAACAATCGTGACTTCCACCAGGACCTTCCCAGTGACCTTTTGAGATCACAGAATGAGGTCACTTAGGCCTTGAAAAGGTCACTTACCAATCCTGAAGAGGTCACTGGGAAGGTCCTGGCAGCTGAAGTCTCAGCTGATCTGGAGGACAACATTCCAAACACACGAGCCCTAAGGAGGAGTTCTGGACCGTGAACCGTCCGCTTCAAAACGCTTAAGATCGTTTCACCGACCATTTTGGGGGATTTCTAGCACTGTCACATGGTAATAGTAGGGTCGAAGTTCTGAATCATGAAGTTAAAAGGTCTTCCTTGAGAACATCTCAAACAACTTTCACTCCTTCACCACCCTGTCTGCCCCCGAAAAAACCAATCCCTGATCCGCTGGAGATAGCTTTGGTGCCACCTGAAAGCCAAGACGGAAGGGCGGAAACGCGATAGAAAGCTTAGTAATTATGTTCTAAGTACCACCTTCCCACTTAGTAATTATGTTCTAAGTACCACCTTCCCACGGCGTGGGAAGCGAAGTGTGACCCGCAACAAGCCTTAGACTCTTCCATATGAAGAAGGTGTTTACCATCCCAAAGGGGGGGATTATATAATCAAGAGTCCACATTGAAATCTAAGATTAACAATCAATAATGTTGTCCACATATCATCAAGAGTCCGCATTATATATTCTGTAATTATAATTAATATATCATGCTAAATATAGTATAATTATCTATGATTATGCATTATAAACTCAATTATATTATCATTATAGATGATGTAACTATATAATGCGGAGTTCTAACGTCACGCCGTCACGGCCCTTTCTTCTCGGCTTGAACCTATCGGAACGATGCTTGGCCCGGCGGCTTGGCGGTGGTCCGGATCCATGCGTCGGAACCACCTAGGGCCTAAGGGATCCACGAATCCACGGATCCCGGATCTTAGGTGAGTGAGGAAGGAGACTCCTTGACCCTACAAGTCACTTTGACCCTATTTTTACTGAAGGTGGTCATACAAAACCAATACTTAAGGAGGTCAAGTCGACCCGGTTTTACTGGGTCAGAGTAGACTTGTGGGGTGATGTAGGCGCCAAAGTCCTATCACCGTATTTGTGAGGGCTGTGGATCCAACAGGTTAAACTCCCTGGTGGTTCAACTTCCAACCCCCGACACCTTCCGGCTCATCATCTTGGCGTTTGAACATGACCTGCGGTCTCATCACCTTGGCATATCCTGTGTTTTTGTTTGAATAACCTTGACATTAACTGACATCGCAGCCCAAGTGGCACCAGTCTTTCAGGACAGAATCTCTTCTCGTCTTTCTATCCACGACATTCCTCAACCGTTTAGACCCGACCATCGGGGACTTCGGACTTGTTTGGGTCAACGAAAATGGAAGCATGTGTCCAGACTCCCAGACCATCCATGTATGGAATATATATAGTTACTTGCATTAGGAGTCATTTTCATGGGGCCGCAATGTATGTATCTATTCTAGTCCCATGAATGGTCTGTCCTTGATAAAGCAGCGAATAGATGAGACGGGTTCGAGTGGACTTGGGTACCGACTCGGGTGTGCTGATGACTTGTGTAAACAATGAGTCTGAAGCCCAAACACTCCCACGGGACTGGAATAGTACGTACCAATTTTTTGAACCATCCACTGCACGTCGGTAAGGATTCCAGTCCCATGGATAGGCCGTTATCCACTAAGGGCGAGAGTAAGTGCAGGAATTATCTATTTAGTACAAACATAAATGTATTATATTATAATATATATATATTATATATATGCACATAATTACTCACTTAGTCGTTTCAAGGTGTGACTGAAGAAATCTACAACTTTGGCTGATGTCAATGCATAGATCTCCGTATCTCCTCAGCACCGTAAGGGCTTCACGCTGGTTCCTGGTCTCCTCGGCACCCCAGGCACCTTCGTACGGCCAAATGTTCAGTGCTTGATCAGCTTCTGGACGAAACCATGGACCGCACAGGGTCCCTGTATGGTGCTTCTGGGGGAACCCCCCCCTGCAGGACTGCTACCACTCCCCTCCCCACCCGCCCTGTTCTGGGTGCGGTGCCGATGTGGTCACATGTCTCTTAAGATGTTCTTGGGGCTTTTCACGCTCCCAAAGAACCGGTAAAGAAAGACACACATCTTCCTTCCTCCATTTGGAGTTCCTTCCTCCACAGTCGCTGGCCGGTCCGCACCGCGGCGTGGGGACTGGGCCCCCCCCACTGGTCCGCACTCGGATCCCGCGTGTCGTCCTGCGTCGGCAGGAAGACGCAGGAAGATGGTGGAAGATGGGAGTTTTTTGTTTTTTTTCGAACAAAGAGATGGGGTTTGGGAAAGTAGAAGGACAGCGTCAAGTGAAACCTATAATAGATGAATATCGTCGATGATTCTAAAAGAACTTTGTCTTCCATGATGTTTTCTCCTGACACAATCTCTGTTCCAAGACCTTGAAATCAAAAATCAAACAGCTTTTCCGTGTGAATGCCTACAGTGTCTAGACCGACCTCAGAACCAAACGCAGACCTCGACACTTCCTTCGTTTTGAGCTCTGGCCGCTGTTTCGGCCTTCCAAGCCTCATTTCCGGGCCACAAAGCCTCACTAAGAGTTCCACGTTTCGGGACCGTATAGGGATCCAATATGTTTTTGACCCTCTGGAGGTACGGTGATTGGAGACACTGTTATGTTATGTAGGTGCCCTATGAGTCCAAAGGGATTACTGTTGATTTGGGTCCAACAGTGGCCACTGGAATGCTGCCGAACGACTTGTATAGAAGGAAGCTGTTCATAGTTGTTCGAACAATATTGTCACCAGCCTGCAAATAGAACAAATTATTTTATAATGTGAATACAGAAGCAAATATATATGTCTGAACAAAAACACAGACCTACTTCAGTGTCTGTGCAGAAAAAATAGTAGCAGTCAAAAGACCTAGAAATGCTTCAGGGGGAGGAGGGCTGGGAGATAGTTGAAGTTTTAATCTGGCTCATCCCGTAGGTGATAAACGGAAACAAGCATACGACGACATCGTACTACGACAATTCACTATTCCCGACCAAGTTCTTTGCGTACAAACCAGATGGATGTGTATTGGAACTGGCAGACTCTGTTTGACCTGCTGAAAGATGGAAAATACACAACAATGATCCACAATCCATGTTTCCCTTAAAAAACAATCCATATGCACTACGAACTTCTCGTCCTTCACCAACCAACAACAAACATCGAAGCCCTGCTTCTCAAGGAGTGCTCTTTCTTTGACCAAAATGGAAATTGCACAAACCAAATTTGCAGCATGGCTGCTCTTGACTTTCCTTCTCAGGTTTCACGTTTGTAGGTTCCGCGAGGAATCGAAGAACATCGAAGAACTATGGCAACTTGGTCTTTCAGAAGCCACCCTCACGCCCCGATGAGATCATCTGACCGATCGTGACCTAATGACCTAGTACAAATCTGTGCTCCCACGGTCCCACCATCGAGACTCTCGCCGTGTGGAACGAGATCCGGTGCTGCGCGATCTGGTGCCTCCACCATGGACGAGGCCTCCAGATCTTCCAGAGACTCCGTCTTGGCTTCAGAACCTGGTTCGGAGTGGTCGACTTCAACACGTACAGGCGGTTTCCAACGAAGGAAGGATGAAGCCCTGAACCTCCCAGTCAATTGGATCTCTTTTCGAGTCATTTGAGTCATTTGAGTCATTCTCCTAGCTAGTAGCTAGCTAGCGCAGCTAAGCGGATCCGAGTCACCCCAAAACAGCATCTCAAAGTGATCTTCAGAAACTATATGCCGTCAGTGAGAGTGTCACCACCTGTGACGTCAAACATGCTCAAGGACACCAGGTGCCGCCGAGCTCACCTGTGACGTCTGTGTGCCGAGCTCCTCGTTCCGGGACTCGTTCCGTCCTGCGGGGTGATGAACGAAAGGCGCGTCGTTCGGACTCCGCGAACGGACGACACTGAAGCTGTGAGGTCCCGGCGAAACAAAGGTGAAACACGAAGATCACAAAGGTTGATGAAGTCAGCATATTATCTGTTTGGATCCGCTCTCTTGGACTTCATTTCATTTAAGAAAACTCATTTCAAGAAGACCATTGGAAACCAACTACGATCCACTGGGTTCCCCACCTTCCACAAGGGCTGTCAGGTGAGAAGGAGCCATGTTTCATGCGAACAGTGGACAGTAGCAGTCGACCAGCAGCTACTGAGAAAAACACCACAAAACAAATTCAACGGGATCCCAAACATTCCATTATATGGATTATATGCCTACATTGACCCCCAGGTCAACCACCCCAATGTAATTAGCATATTCCGTCATTGCGGGGAGTGTTTGGGGATTGGATTCATGATGCTCACAAATTCATTCCACCGTCCGCCGGCCGGATGTCAAAACGATCCAATCCTCCTACCTGAATCAAGACGCCCACGTTTGTTCGTCGACTCCCGAAGAACTTCTCCCAAACACTCCAAGTATGGAACATATATACATTGACCATCCTTGACCCCAAGTCAACCACCCCAACCCATCACACTCCACAGGAGTGTATCATATGCCAGTCCCATGGATGGTCAGGACGTCAGGACGTGACATGTCAGGACTCAACTGGTGGATGACCGCAGGGTCGACCCGATCGGCCCGAACCTGAAAAACCGCCGGGGCCCATCGGTCGGTCGACTCCGTTGCACCTGAACTCCGCGCACTCGGACCTGGGATCGCTGGGGGCGAACGTGGAGCAGAGATCACCGGCGTTAGAACGACGTTGTTAGCGTTTCTGGTGGCGCCCGGGACGTGCGGGAGTTTAGGGTGAAGTATGTTCAATAAGCAAACTGCAAACTGGACCATGGAAAAGAATTGTCAGTTCCTAATATGTTCCTATATGTTCCTATGTTCTAGTTTTGGGTCACTTCGGACACCTAGCTGACGTGTGGCGAAACAGGTCGGTTCGAGTTTGGTGCCTTTCTGATCCTGCTGGCATGCCTCATTTCCAGAAACCGTTGGTACAGGTAGAGCCAAACATGACGGCACTGCAGTTCAGAGGTCACGTGTAGAGGTCACATGTTCAAACAAAACACCAGCGGGCCACCAAGCCGATTCGGCTCAGCCACGAACCCGTCCGCTGGGTCCCTGTGCTTCAGTGGGATGAAGCGACTGGCGTGGCGCGTGGGAAGGCTACAGGAAGTACCAGCGCCTGACGAGCGAGTCAGGAGTGGGAAACCACGAGGAACATGAAAGCCATGCATGTACTTTGATTAAAAGGCAATTCATAATTCATGGCAAGTCTATGAAAGACTTAAGCATCATGGGCTGACTAGGGTTGGTCTTGTTTGGACTTTGTATTGAACAACAATTGTAGTTACAAAGAAACTATCTCACTAGGGATCCACATACCTTCTCAGAAGCTACTCTGACCCTTCTGGCATCGACCTAAAAGTGTCTGACCCTTCACCTTCTCAAAGGGTATGTGGATCCCGAAGGGCTAGGTATATACCGTACCCGAAGAACAAGCTCTACCTGGAGCCTGGAGCCTCCAACGGGTATAAATCTGGTTCTCAAAAGGCACAAACCACGCCGCGGCCAGATGGGTGCCCAAATGTGCCCGGGAGGGGCGGAGGTAGCGAGTAAGAAGAGAGTATAAGAAGTGTATCCTGACCATGAAAAGCGTCAAACATCCTGATGAAAGGACCCAAGCTAGAACCCCTTTGTTTCGTGGTTTCAGCCATAGAGTCCTTGAAGAACACCTGAGATCCGCTACAAATCTGCCACCCGCATCGCCCACTGATCAGTGGCATCCGAGTGTTCACCCAAACTTTCTCGTTGGAGTTGATGGACACCTCTGTTTTTCATGGCTTTTCGATAGCTTTTTTGCGTGTCCCTGGTAGTCTGTGGGCAACAGTGCCGGCCTTCTCCAAGCTGCTGGCCTAAATCCGCTGCATCAGTTCCGTCCACCATGGCAAAACGACCTCGAACATCGTGCGTTCGAAAGCGTCTCGATGCAAAGCTCCATTGCTTGATGGTGCCATGGACGCCGCACGCTGCACGCATCAAATCCTCTTGAAATTCCCAATCTGTTCAAGATTCTTGTGGTCAAAAGCCCAATGATTGAGAAGACTCTTTGTTTGTCTCTCTTGTCCATTCAAGTGATCCATTACAAGACCCCGATTCATCATAATAGTAATAATAATAATAATAATAATCATCATCATCATCATAAGCAAGTACCCGCAGGTACCCAAACCTCAGGTCTTGCGGGACTCTTTCAAACCCAAGCCCTCAGCTCAAGACTTCGGCTTCAATCCCGTCGGGGCACGAGGGGTCGGAGGGCACTGAGTCCCCGCACTGTTGGTCCACATGGAGAGACCCTGCCTGCCGGGCGGACGGTGACGAGGGGCGGTGTTTCGAGGTGGTGAGTCTCTCAGGTCATGACAGTCGGTCGGGTGCGGCTTGATTGGCTGGGAGGCGAAGTAATGTGGCTCAAATGTGGTGGATGCACCTGCAGAAAGACGGCTATATCTATATATCTGAAGTTCAAAGTGAATTCGCTTTAGATGCATGGACAATCTGGGTCATGAAGTATCAGAAAGGGCCACTGGTTCAACCTGGCAAGGTGAAGGCTGACTGAACAAGCGGACTAGAGTGTCCACGACCCCGCATCGCGACCGCATGTGCTCGCATGGTGAAGGATTGCAGGTCCGTGTCCATCCGTGATGGATTGCTTGTGCTATCAACTCTGGAATCGCTGATCAATTGATGAATATTCACCTGCATTTTGCTGGCCTGAATCCTGGGAATCACAAAGGTCGGTTCATGTCTTTCCCTAAGAAGAGCTACAGGTAGCCACACCCTTTCAACCTCTCGCGGAACACACTTTTGGCCACTTCCAGTGCCTCTCCCAGTGCTCGGACCCGGACGACGCATCCGAACCCACCACGACCCTTGGGGCCCTCAGGGTCTGGAGCAAACCACTCCGATGCTGTCCATCCGTCCGACGTGAAAAGCGGTCGGTCGAGCGTCCGACGTCGGGCCGAGCGCCTGAGGCGCGATAAGGTTTCCACTGCTTGGCCACTGGGTGAGTCCTGGCCGGTGAACGACCGAAGTCCAGCTTTCGGCCTGAGTGAAGAACAGACTCTAGGGCTCCTGGCCCACCTCCGTTGAGGTTCGGTGGTTGGGGTGGGTGCTAGCGGGGTCTAACCACCTTCTGAGGATGTGGACATTCAAGACCAAGACAGTCAGCCAAGACCAAGATCTTGGATCGAAGTCCCCCCACACCTCAAGCGCGACCAACATCTGGGACTGTCATATATGACTGCCGATCAAGCCAGGGGTGGTTGAAAAGGGGTCAATGGGGTGGCATCCACGGAGTGCCTGGGTGTCTGGTTTCTGCATGTTTTCGCTCCTTGGGGGCAACGACAAACGAAAAACGTCCAGGCCCCAGACCTTCGGCCCCAGAACCTCGGAAGGTACGACTGTAGTGTCTCCTAGCATCTATACAGTGTCTCCAGTCACCTTCTCAAACAGTATGTCGTGGATCTATAGGGAGGCGACGAAACCTCGCGAAACCTCGAAGGTTTCGCGCCTCCAGGTCGAGACGAACGCCGTGACTTCCGGAGGTGTGGGTCGTCTACCAGAGCGGTGTCCTGATCCCATTCGGTGAAGGACGTCTCGATCTCATCCTTTGGCTCGTCTCGCAAGCCCTGGCGATGGGTGTGGGTGTGGGTTGGCGGTTCAGGACTGAGAAGATGGTGGGCTCCAAAGCAAGTATGTGCCCTTGAGGGTGCTTGGCAAGGAGGGTAGGAGGGTATGTGTGCTGAGTGAGCAGGAGGAAGATCCTTCATCTTCCAATGATGTGCAGTGGTAATGAACAAACTACTTGCAGTCAAAATGCCCATCAGGATTGGCCGTCTCAAAGGCTCATAGAAGGAGCTTCTGACCATGAGAGTTGAGGTGTTGATCATGATGAACATCCACCGCTTGCCAAACTCCTCAAGTCATTTCCAGTCCCTTAGTCCTCATCCGCTTTCCCCTCAGGATGTCCACTTTTTCTTTTGTGCTAGCTGCTAGTGTAGCTTCCAAGAACCTCTCAGAAAAAAAAGTAGTTGGGAGGTTGGAGAATACAAATTACACTCCCTCCAACAATCATGGAAGTAGAACGCGATCACTGGAAAGAAAGACTATCTTCCTCCACAAACAAGGGGTGCCATCCACTTCCATGTTTAGAGGGTATCCATCCTTAGACCAACCCCAGGAGTTGCTGAAAATTCTCCCAGAAGGAAGTAGGAAGTTGTTTTATTTTTGTGGAGACAAAGGGCTTGCCTTTTTGAAGTAGCAAACAAACTCGTGGCGATTGATGATCCAAGGCTTCAATCAAATCTATGAGCTCTTTGTTTGGTTGACCAACTTCCAGCGGTTTTTTCCCGTCCGTGGGCCGAGACGGGCCAATCAGGGTGGGTCGGTCCACTTGCACAGGGTATTCCACCAGGCCAGGGAGGTAGATCAAGGAAGGGGGATTGGAAACTATTATCAATCGAAGTTCAAACGTACAGTTGATGTACAGTAGGCCGTCTCGAGACGGGCGTCAACGGGCGTCAACGGGCTGGCTGAAAAAGGCCCTCGTATACCGCAAGGTTTGGCTGTGTTTTGCCACAAAGCTTGTGAGAAGAACATGAACATTGACAGTGATGCTCTAATAACTTTCTCTGATTAAGCTATTTATGTCTCAGCACAAGCAACAAGCAAACGCTAGGTGCGTTTACCTGATCTTGTTTTGCTTGCCCTCTCCTGGTTTAAGGCCTGACCCTGACCGCCCCCTCCGCGCAAGTGACCACATGGACCACCGGTCAACTCAACCCGGTAGCCCCTTCCAGCTTGGGACACCATGGCAAAAAACGATGAAGTCATTGGACAGCGTTTGGGTTGAACATCTCCTACACGTCGGCCTCCAAGAGCTTCACAGTGGAAACCTGGCTTCTGGGCGGTCGAAACGGAAGCCGAACGGATGCCGAGTTTCGGTGACCGAAACAGCCCACAGCCATGTTCAGGACTGGGGGTTTCTGGGACTAAGCTTGGTAAGCTTGGTGAGCTTGGGGACTTGAGCGGTGACGAAGGGTGATGGTGATTAAGGAACGGTCAACAAGGCCACGTAGTCCACCAGTCCGTCCACCAACAGACATGTATACCACTTCAGACCGGTCAAGCGGCTGGCTCTGCAACGTGTATGATCATGTATGTGACAGTTGCAGGCGTTGAGTGTCCTGTTGATTCTGGATGCCATCGGCCATGTTGATGCACTCATCCGTGCGCGAAATTCTCACATGGCCCGTGTCTGCCCCACCGATTCCTAGCCACCCAACCCAGTCCCAGGCCCCAGCAGTTTCGATGTCGGGGGTGCTGAACTTGAAGGATACGGCGCTCGGCACAAGGGGTGATCCTGTCACATCTACGATCCCTGGATGAGACTCGAAAGCCTAACGCCTGCCTTCCTTGGAACTACTGGTAGGATCCGGGAGGGATAATTACGGTGGTTGAAAGCGGTTCGATGGCACCAGCACCCCATATGCAAGATGTCTTTGCTGTAAAATGTGTTTAAACCCATGTAAGCCACCGAACTTCGGGAGTGTTCCATCGAATCTACTCTGAAACCACTATTGAATAGGGAAACTAGACCCACGAGCATTGGTGTGTTTTTCTTCTGAACAATGGATTTGCAGGTTGCCATGGGTTTCCTATCTATATCATTCTACAATCACTTTCCTACATATGAGAATCCCAAGTAGATAGACAAGTAGTTCCCCACGTAGAACATGTATTGGACGCCGTGTCACGGTCATCTATTTGGGGATCACTTCAATCATTCGAAGTAGGGATCCGTGGCATCCAACATCTTCATCCTTTCAGAACCGGAGACCAACCCCGCTGCCTTCACTGAGCGCGAACGGCAGTTGGCCTGGCAGCTGGCCGGTTCCGCAGGCAGAGGCGGCGTGTGCGGGAGCGATCGATGAGTTTAGGGATGCTAGGGTTTGGAAGATGGGTCGTGATGGGCCAAGAGATTAGCAGTATTTGGTTGATTCTGATGGTGGGGAATGAACTCGTACACCCTAAATGGGTGTCTGGTGTCTGGTGGGGAATGGATGGAATGGATGTCTGGTTTTGTTTGTTAGCGCACCATGGTTCATTTTTTCCCTTGAACCGAACTTGCAAGCATCTGGACGAGTTGAATCTATGACTAGCAATAGATAGAAACTGTTAAAGGTGTGGTGTTATTGGTTCTTCACATCTGCTGTTCTGAGGAAGAGCCCCCCACACCGCCCGGCAATCCAAACCAAGGGGTGACTTGGTGCTACTTGGTTTGGTCCTTTAAGACTTCACAACTATATATATACATGCCTTACTTTGTTTGGT